ATGATTCTCAAAAGTGATACCTATATACGGATTGATGGAGAGACGCAAACTAAAGTAACAAAATAACCCTGCTATATTAATTTACCAATTGAAATGCAATTTATTTATTCACTACTTAATTTCCTGCAAAATTAATAAAAGCGAGCAAATTATTAAAATTATTAAGTCACCCAAAATCAAACACTCAACTGTCAGTTATTCATGCCAATTACATCCTATAAGAATCTGTATTAAATTTGAAGCCGACTTTTTTCTTCTTCTAGCAGTCTTTCTGCATGAAGTTTATCTTCATTATCTAAGTTATATTGATCTTCGTTAAAATACACGTTCATTCGTTGAATGTCAATAATTCTGTCGCGATTGCTGTGCAATAAATATAACAAAATTCACCTTAGTATAATATTTACATAATATCATAGTCAGAAAAGAAATCGTTTACCGTTTAGCAATATTTTCGAGAACTTTATCTCCAAAATCTAGATTCTCTGGAAGTTTGCATGCAATAGTTGAATCGGGAATTATATAGAAATCCGAGTTGACATCTTGTTTTGACAACATGCTGCTTAAATTTCTTTGATCAACTACACGCCTAATTAAAAATAATAGAATTAGTTATTTTCATAATAAATAAACAAATAAGTATAAAACTTACAATGAAAGACCCATTTTGTGAACATTACGGATAAACTGTTTGTCTTCAAAGGTCCCGTTTGTGACAAACCGATACACAAATACAGCCTTTTTTTGATTATATCTATATACCTAAAAAGATGTTTAAAGTTAAATTGGTTGATGAATATTTTATATACCACTATGATATTTTTGTTCCAGACTTACTCTTCCAATAGCCTGCTCTGCGAAACTATTTGTAAAAAGTATTAAACAAATATTCGATTGAAACAGTAAACGTATCAAATAATATCAAACCTTGGATTCCATTCACCATCGACGAGGATTACTCTATTGGCACCATACATATTGACTCCAAGGCCACCTGTCTATCAGTTTATGAAATGACAAGTTTTGATTATATTCTAATTTGACTGATAAATTACAAATACTGGATGTTTACCTTTATTGATATCAATGCAACTTTCCAAAACTTTGATTTATTAAAACTATCGATAGAACGTTGTCGTTCCTAGGAAGAAAAGCGTTAAAATGCATTATGAATTATAAAACATATATAGCAGGGTTATTTTGTTACTTTAGTTTGCGTCTCTCCATCAATCCGTATATAGGTATCACTTTTGAGAATCAT